CTGCTGCTGCTGCTACTGCCTTCCACCACGCACGAGCGTGCGTGGTGGAAGTGGTGTGTGTGTGTGTCCCTCCCGATCCTACGACATGAGTAACCTACATGTGTGTCTGTGTGTGTGTTTTTATTATTAGCATGGACCGCCCGGCTGACCAATGAAAATACGTCAGTCTTAGTGCGGTCGAAAACAGAAAACACTTCTATCTGCCATGAACTAGGACCCCGTGAGGGGGCAGCATGGGGGAGGCTAAACCATTCTTCGGATCAAAGAGAGTGTGTGTGTATGTGTGTGTATTTTTGTTCATAAACACAAGGATTATTATTGTGCCGTGCGCCGTAAGGCCCTGAGCGATCAGCATTCGCCGCACGAGGCCGCTCGTGGGGCTAGAGCTCCGATTCTTACACCGCGAAAGCAGTTCAACTCGTTCTTGAACGCTTTCACAGCAAACAAGGAATGATCCATTAAACTTTAGCTGACTCTATTCTGTACACCGTGACGGGTTGAACTCTCTGCGTTATGTTTATGTGTCCGCCCCTGCTTTTCGTGGCACGCACACGGCACACACACGAGTGAAGATGACACACAAGCACTTGTGGCGAACTATGTACCCGGCTGATGTTGTTGCGCCCTGTTTCCCTCCCTGCTGTATGCTATACTCCTTTATGTATTTCCTTTGTATTGCCTTCGGCCTCTGTGCTGTTTCTTTTTTTCATGGCCTCCCTGCCTACTCTGTCTGCTGTGTTGGGTACCTTGATCTCGCTTTGCTGTTGCCTTTGTTTTTTGTACGTCTGGCTGTCTGCCCATCTGCCGCCTCTTTGTCCTGTTTGCTCCGTTACTCCCATGCCCTGGTGCGTAGGGCCTGGTGCTGGTACGGTACCCTTTGATTTTTCTTTGGGCGGGTGTGGGAAGTGTCCTCCTTTATTTTTACTTTTTATTTTTTTCGGTTTCCGAGGGCTCTTTTCTCGAACGGTCGGTGCGATACCTGTTCTTTTCTTTCTATCATTTTGTTTTGTTTTTCCGAGTGGTTTGTACCATAATTTTGTTTTTTTGTTTTCTCGCGGCGTCGTATGTGCCGGGTTTTGAGACCACGGGCTCCCCATTTTTTGTGGACTATNATTTTTGTTTTTTGTTTTCTCGCGGCGTCGTATGTGCCGGGTTTTGAGACCACGGGCTCCCCATTTTTTGTGGACTATAGAGCTAATGTGAGAAACAACAACAACAACAACAACAACACGGAGAATGGTATACATAAACACCGTCAGCGATGGCAGCGAGGTTTAGTCTCAGACACGTACCAGCGAAAACGCAAGGCCCGTCTCTTCGCGAACTCGTGCAGCGAATGGAAGAAACGGTTGACGAATTTCCGTGGTTTAAGTTCGTGGAGACTCTTACTGCAAGACTGTCACACACATGAACACCATGCTTCTCGCGTGCACAAATGAGATTGTACCATTTCGTGCTGGCTTCGGGTGAATGCAGTGATCATGTGTTCGAAGCCGTTGTGTATTCATGTGTAAAATGCTACGCCGGGAGATCATGTGTGGACACTCCGCGGAGAGGACGGGGCACGCGAGCGCCCCGGCCGCGCGCAGCCCCTGGAATTTTGCACTATCTGCTTCAGGGATCCCGCAAGTACTAATTTGTTCAGAAGGCGTATGTATCTTGTTCGGGTGCTCAGAAACTCGAGAATCCACGCACACGCAATCGTCGAAAATCGTGCTGTCCAACGTGTTGCAAATGGTCCCGAAAGTACGGATGTGTGCGTGTTGAAACAACAACGCGATCAGAATCAACGATGAGGAGAAATTTTACTAAATATTTGTTTTTCAGCGCCTTCGCACGAAACTTAGGATCTCGACTCACCGAATGAACTCCATTGCTCGACCCTTGTCGTTGCTCTCCCGGTCTTGGCACCCTACTGAAACAGGGAGGAGCTGCAGGCGTGGGAAGAAGCGGAACGCGAGCGCGAGGAAGCGCCACCATGAAGTGCGGCGGGAATACTTTTTTGTTGTATTTCGTTCTGGTGTGTTGCCACCCCCGGAGATTCACTCTCTTTTAAAAATTGTCGTTCCGGCGCTACCTGAAGCCAGTCCCCCAGACTAAAATTGCGTAGCGTTTCCATCTGTATTCACCGGAGGAGAAAGCCGGCTGAGGTTTTCGAACCTCTCAACCATGTAGATGTCGGGGGCAAGGCTAACTGGGATTGTCTATTGGCTGCTGCGTCGGCGACGAGCTTCGCATAAACACTCAGTGCTGTGTGGCGTAATGTGGTGTAAGTTGATGGTACACATACATGCGTGTATATCCAGCCCATGGCAGGCGCTGCCACGTCATGCAAAACGAGTGTGGTTGGTTGTAAGTATTGTACAAGTTCATGGAGGCGTCAAAGATTATGCAACAGTTTCAAGCCGAGAAGAAACTCGAACGTGCTGTACGAGTCTCCTCTGTCTGACCGGTGGGGTCTATGCACATCTATGAATTTTTGGGCATTGAAACGTTCGAAGCCATCCGTTCGCCGAGGTTATCATTCCGCCACGTACTGCATGCAGCACAGAATAGCGTATTGTAGAACAGAAGGGCTCGTGACGTACCCGGCGAATTTTCTTGTGCGCTACCCAGGACACCAAACTCCAGCCCCACCCTTTCTTAGGCATTGTTTCAACGTTAAGAATGCCACGCGGATCGATTGTCTGAGAGAGTCGGGTCGACGGCGGGAAGTTGCCAAGATTGATTGACGCACAACGGCGAATTTTCTTGTGCGCTACCCAGGACACCAAACTCCAGCCCCACCCTTTCTTAGGCATTGTTTCAACGTTAAGAATGCCACGCGGATCGATTGTCTGAGAGAGTCGGGTCGACGGCGGGAAGTTGCCAAGATTGATTGACGCACAACGGCGAATTTTCTTGTGCGCTACCCAGGACACCAAACTCCAGCCCCACCCTTTCTTAGGCATTGTTTCAACGTTAAGAATGCCACGCGGATCGATTGTCTGAGAGAGTCGGGTCGACGGCGGGAAGTTGCCAAGATTGATTGACGCACAACGGCGAATTTTCTTGTGCGCTACCCAGGACACCAAACTCCAGCCCCACCCTTAATTAGGGATTGTTTCAAAGTTAAGAATGCCACGCGGATCGATTGTCTGAGAGAGTCGGGTTGACGGCGGAAAGTTGCCAATATTTATTGATACACAACCTCGGCGAGGTTTTCGCTGCTCGGAGAACCAAGGACTGGCTTTGGTGTGAAGCGAAATCTCCACAAGATATAGTTTTTGGAACCGGAGTAACATCTGAATTGGGACCTTCCCTTTGAAATGTACTCTTCATCCAACTCGTCCAACGAACATCCCTCTCTTCCACGTGCTGCCTTGCAGGCGAAGCAACAACACCTTGCAACCGATCTCACTGCCTTGGCGATGTCCGGCCGTGTTTGTGTGGCCAATACAGTCTCTGCGCCTTTGCACCCAAGACTCGGAACGCCGAGAAACATCCGTACCACACCAGTGTCCTCATGATCTTAGATCAAACTGGTCAGCCGTTGTGTCATAGTGACGTGTGGTCACACGCGCCTCTCAGCTGTCGTCAGACCGTTGATGTTCCTTTCTGGATTTTTGATGCGGAGACCCGCCGACCAGATGCATGCCGCATTTATTGCGACTGATCATACACCAATGACTGCTGTTGTTTTTTTGTTTTGTTTTTCTCCCATCATTGGACTCTGTCGTCTGCCCCTCTGGCCCCTATCCTCCACTTCTACTAGCTAGACGACCCAACCGGGGTCACATAGGAGGGGGGGGTTGGACCCCCTCCTGCGGTTCATGCCTGAGGTATTTTTATCGCGAGAAGGGTACAGCAATCCCTTCCCTCGCGACTTACGAAGTCGATTATGGTTTACTAACAAACGAGCTTTGCAGCGCGTCGCTTTCATCCTAAACCAGGATTTATGTAGTGAGAAAAAAACTCTCTGCCGGGACTCGAACCCATGACCTGGCCCTTAGCAGGCTGCGAGGCTACCCACTAGACCACCGGGGCGACCGGTGTGTACATGTCCCAACCAACCTGCACCATCTGCACCGCCTCTGCTTTAATCTGCACCTCTGCTGACACTGGCACGATATGGCTTGACTGCTAGAAACTACATCTGGGGCAGGTGGTTCACAGCAGTAGGTGTAGAAATTACACGTCTGAATAAATCGATTCCTTGACTTTTATGTGTTGCGAATAAATGTTCTCACTCTGAATCTCAGAGTCCACTCTGAATCCTGCGAATACGGTGAAACTCTTTAAGTTGCACCTTAGCGGGGGGAAACACTTTTGCCCCACGCTACTCCGTGCTATGCTGCCAACCCTTCGGTATGCGCCTGCTGAGACATTTCATCGAGCCTCTCTCAAGGTCTCTTCTCAATAACACATGCTGAATATCACCGCTACTATCCAAGGTTTTTCATGGGGACCATCTCATTGAGATCCCTACCAAACTGGTCACACCTTTCCTTTTTTCCCACAGCAAGAAATTGTGATGGTATCTTCATGTAGACACCCGCTTCTCATTTGCCAAACACTGCAAAAAATCCGAAATCAACGAACATCTCATCGTGCCCATGCCGTTGAAAGGATGCCTGCCCTAAACCATACCGCATGCATACAAGCGCTTGCACAAGACTACACACAAGAAAGCATCCCCATCAAGACAAGAGTGCCCAAAAGTCTGCTATCAACGTGTGGCACATGCCCACGTTGTCTGCACACGCCAAAGACGCCAACAAATTGAACACTTGAAGCACCAACTTCGAACTGGCCTCGTCTACAGGTTGTTGCTACGCGGGCTCAAACGTTGTCGCATTCAGCAACCCACACAACTTTGGAGCCACCGAATGTTCCATCTCCGACTGCTCCCACCTCACCGCCTCCTCTTAATTTCTCCGGCGCCCGGAAATCGTTGGCAACAAGCTGCGGCAAGTCCGGTCGCTAATCGGCCTCCTCGAGGGGATCAGCACCCATGTCAGAGGTGTTGGTTCACGGCACCCAGCGTCGACAGCATCACGGGTGGTGATCGACGAGATGAGCGTCGCCTTGTCCACCATCGAGAGAAGTCGGCGACGTCACCGAATAGCGGTGTCGTGCCCGGGAGGCGACGACGGTGGTTGCGGCGGCTCCGGCTCTCGAGGACGCTGTTGGCGCTGCTGCTCCTCGTCCAGAAAACGCACGCCCTGCCAGCCGTGAGTCCGTGTCTTTCATCCGAACCCCAACTGCCGAGCTTCGGTTGCTGAGAGTGGCGGGTGCATCGGCTCGACAGCGTTGCTCACGGGCGGTAGCGGCGACGGTGGTGATGGTGACATGACGAGGGCCGGCAGTGCGGTTGCGGTGGTCGCGGAGGCAGGAGGAGCAAGGTGTAGGTATAATGGTGTACCCCCTGCGGCACGGTGCGACGGTGGCCGCGGGCACAAATAGCGGCGGCCGTCGGCCCGGCGTGACCGAAGAACCCCCCCCCCGACGCCCGGCACCGGCGCTGGTGCGATGCCTAGACTATCCGAGTCGTCCAGACATGTGATTGTCGACACACCTCCTGAGCCATGGCCAGCTCAAACGCGGCGGTAATCATTGAACGTGATTGTTGGCGCCGTGGAGATAGATAATTTTTTCGGACTGCACATCGGACTCGGGGTGGCTGGCCCTTGACGCGCACCATCACGTCCTGGGAAACAAGGGTGACCTTCGGCGCGGTGGTTCCGCCGGAAAAAGAACTCGTACTACTGCTGTAGTAGGGCGACATTCATCCTTTCGTGGGCATTGGCGGGGGAGCGGGAAAAACAACCGCACTTCGGGATGGCGGAGTGTTGCCGAAGGCATACTTTCCATGTTTGGGATGGGGGCTAGGTCCGCACCGGGAAGAGAGAGGACGGGTTCTTTCCCCGTCTTCCCTGATGAACCTGAAGATAAAGTCTACTGCTGCTGTTCACCGTCCTCCCTGATGAACCTGAAGGTATTTATCTAGTCTACTACTGCTGCTGTGCATCTTTTTTGTAGCTGCATCCTGAAGATTTTCGCTTGGTGACGAAGTCTTTGCATAGGACAGCGGGCCTGCAATCTGCGTGTTGTTGTTCAACAGGACGCTTAGTGGAGACGCTCATGGGCATCCGAACGCTCAGCCTCTACCTTCCAAAATCATCTCGAAAGACCCTCTTGGACAATCCGCGGTCCCGGGGGAGAACGCGGAGGAGCTGCCCGGCGTGACTGTCAAAAATAGCACAATTGCACCGCAGGATTGGCCAATCAAAACGTTGCGAGGTGACATCACCTGTCCCGTAATCTAATATCCAAAGCTCGAAGTGTTCAAGTTGTGTCTTTTGTCGCGCTCGTGCTCGCTTCACACCCTCGTTTCCTCTCCTCCTCTCCTCTCCCCAGCCTCACCCTCGCGACCTCTGTCCATTTACGACCAACACTTGGTGGCTATGAAGATCACGGGAGCCACCGTTCTGGGAATGGTCGCCACTACACAGGCGTTCCACATTCCCGCGAACGTCAAGCCGAGCCTGTCGAGGAGGAGCAGCACCTCTCTCAATAGCGCTCTCGAACCCTTGTCGGACGCCGAGGTAAGAGAGAGCAAACATGACGTGGGACTGCCGTGATGCCGCTCCCTTTCTTGTTCCCTTGGTTCAAGTCCGAGCTTGTGGTGGCTCGGCGTGTGACAGCGGTTGCTGCCGTTCATGCACGGAAGTCAGATTTTGCTTTTCACAGGAACTAAAGGCCGGGCCTTTTTTTTGGTCCGATCCTTGGCCTGGCGCGGCAGCAGCAGGTGTTCGCAATTGCGTTCCTCCCATTGTGGCTGCAGTGTTACAACCCGTGAGGGGAAGAACACCATGTATAGCTTCGCCAGCAAGAAAACGGGGTAACCGCTAGAAAAACACCCGGCGAAAATGTCGATGTTTGATTACCTGATCGTCATATTGATACAAGCAAGGTCATGTACAACAGGATTTCTTATTCCTTGAGCAGCAGCTGCTTTTTTTGGATGCGCGCCAACTCTGTTTTCGTCTCCCCGTTGCTTGTTGAGGACCGCAGGCGATGGCCTCGCTTGAGGCGATCGGGGGTTACGATGTAGAGACGCTCGGCAAGCCGCTCGACCCCCTCCACCTGGCGAAGTACATCCCGGCGGAGACCTTGAGGAAGTACGAGACGGTGCACTGCAGAGTGGCGATGCTGGCGTGCGTCGGATACGCTTTCCCTCGTAAGTGCATGTTGCCTTATTTTTTTCATTTGAATGTTGTGTTCCTTGTTGAGGTAAGTCCGTGGCACGTTGCAAATGAAATCCCGCACCCTCTTTTTCAATGCCGATTTGTCCGCAGCACAAACAGCAGTGATGTTTACGAGAACGGTGGCATTGGAACCGTCTCGTCGTGAACTTTTCGAGAAGATATCATTTGATCGTGGGATCCTTCATTGTGGAGTAGTCGAGCTTTGAAAACCGGTCCATGGTATGCGGTATCTAACGCAACCCGACGTACCTGTACGTTGAGCACCTGCTTCCGTCCACTACCTTGTTAGTCGGAGAGATGGCATCCCCGTGCGTTTTTTGATAGCGTATTTCTCCACAACTATGAGGATGAGAACACCAACCGATACCTCTCACTCAGGAAAGATCTCGAACGAGATGTTTCCAAAACCACTCTTTTCGGCAGTGGTACCCTCCTGATTGTGGAGAAATACGCTATGAAAAAACACTGACACGGGGGTGCCATCTCTCCGACTATTACGGTAAGTGCATGTGGCTTTCAATTCAAGCAGACAGGGTACCTTGAAGTTCTTTGTTTTTTCTGGTAATACTTCACATGTAGCGGCACACGTTGGCATATGTATACGCAAAGAGGTCGCAACTACAGGTAGACCGGAGCTAAACAACGAAAGAGCACCGCCGCATCGCGCGCGACATTCAGTTCTCGGCCCTTCATTCAGTTCTCGGCCCTTGGTATGTCGAATACCTCGTGATTGCGCTGAAGAAAATATTGAGACCTTCGATGCCGTGTGCTGCTCGTTGGGCTATGGACGCGATGTATCCGCATTTCGTCGCAGAAGTGTTGTTGCCTTCTTTTCTCAGTGTTGGCCATGTTGTGCTCAGTTACCTCACCGTTGACTTCAACCCCTTGGGAAATTGGTGACCTCTCCCCGGGTCCCTAGATGAGGCAGTCGGTTGCAAGGGTTTCCGGAAGGGTTGCCGTTGTGCGCGACCGCGGTGAACAGAATGTACACAGATTCTACAGATTCTAATTTCGCGCCACACTTAATATGGTCCTTCTTGTCTACTACACAAAATTGCGGCTGTGCAGAAGACGGTAGAACATCAGCACCTTGTTTGCTTCTCACGAAGTCTCGAAAGCTGTTTCTTAGGTTGCGGTTCTGTCGTTCTACTTGACTGCCGTCGTTTTAGTCTCTCTAAGGAAAACCAACGTCGTATGTATACCATGGTTTTGTGTCTTAGCTTTGTTGCAAGTCGGTGTCAAATGAGTTCCCCACGGCAGCTGCACAATACAGGCAGGCAGGGATGTTCCAGGAAAGTTCCGTGTTTTTACAGGTGTTGCAACTGTTGCCCGGCGCACCGAAGGGAGAAATGTTGTACTCGTCTTTCGCCCTGGATGACGTAGAAGGCCGGCACTTCCTTGTCTTCGGTTGGTGTTCGTTGCACCTGTCGAGACATGGAAGTGCGTGCTCACGTGGAGAATCAACCGCAGAGTTTTCAGACAGGCTGGTCGTACTGACCGCTGCTGCTGCTAGTTCTGGATATGAGGATACTGCTGCTCTGTGCTTGCTGCCCATGGGCTGCTGACTCCCGTGCCTTCTCCTAATTATCAATCCGTCTCTCTTTCTCCACTCCCCGTCGTTCTCGCGCCTCTGTCCCCCACCGATCGACCGACCTATTCACCGCTGCTCCAGAAATCTTCGGCATGTTCGACGCGACGGACGTGCAGTCGGCGAACGGGATTGACGCCCTGTTCCAGACGGCGCCTGAGGCGTGGGCCCAGATCATCGGCGCTTGCGGCATGTGCGTTCTCTCGCTCTGACCTTTAAATATAAAATATGATAGCCGGGACGGAGCACGTCGCCGGGGGGGGGGGGGGGG